GCACTGAAAACAGATGCAGAGACAACAGCTAACATTCTCACACCACTACTGCAGAAGGTTTGGAAGGAGGGAAGGAAGGAAGGAAAGGTACCTACCCATTGATTGGAAGAAGGGCTACCTTGTCAAACTCCCAGAGAGAGGAGACCTTAGCCCTTGCAAGAACTGGCGCGGAATCGTGCTCCTGTCCACACCATCCTGAAGGAACTGAAAAATGGGCAGGGTTCAAAATTACGACCGAAACAGGCTGGCTGTCTTCAGGAAGAACAAATCATGTGCGGATCAAATTACAAGGCTACACTACGCATCATCATAGAGCAGAGCATAGAATGGCAGTCAACTAGAGCCTTAACTCAACTTCATCGAGTTTGAAAAGGCCTTTGATTGCGTCGACTGAGAAGTAATTTGGCAGTTGCTTCAACACTACCGTTTCAGTGGCACTAGTCTTCATCCATCCTGTTCAACAGCTGTATGTTACCTGGTACTACATGCCAAATGATTCATAATGTGGAGCTCAGTGACATCTCTGAAGACTGGAGAAACACAAATTGCCACCTACTATTACCGATGGTCTTCCTGATTGTGGTCGACTAGACTGGATCATGCAACAAAGTGTGAGAAGATGGGCATACGCTGTTTGACCAGTGAAAAGACCCTAGAAGATTTGGATTTCGCCCACGACGATGATTAATGTCTAATTTCCTGTCGCACAAACTAGCAGATCTTCAGGAGAAAACTAACAATTTGGCAGAAGAGGCGATGTAGCGAAGGAAGACGGAACTTCCTTCAGGTGAACGTAGAGAAGACGGAGGTGATGAAGATATTCAACCAACAAAAACAACAAGCACCGATCAACATCAGCGGGAGAAATCTGAGGGAAGTTGTCTCTTTCACCTACCTAGGGAGGGCAGCATCGTTTCAACTTCAGGCTACACAGACAAGGATGTCAAAGCCAGGATCGGGAAGGAAGCCAAGCTTTCATTAAGCCAAAACCGGTGTGGAGATCTGCTGCACTCAGCATAAAACGTGGATTTTCAACACTAATATCAGTCAAGTCAGTGCTTCTATGTAATGGTTCAGAGACTTGGTGCGTTACCAAAAGGATTCCCAACAAACTAAAGACATACATCAACAGCTGTCGCCTACGCTCGCTCTATACTGAAGATCAGACAGATGGCTGAACAATAAGAATAAGCAACAAGAAACTCTGACTGACTGGCTGGCAACGAAATAACCAATGAAGCAAGGAGTCATCGCCCAACAAATATGATGAAGAAGAACATGGAGATGGATTGAATTCTATTGGATTGCACATACACTGAGAAGACCGTTTGAGGATATCAATCGCCAGGTCAGACAATCGAGTGGAACCAGTATGGGAAACGACGAGTAGGGCCTCTATGTGTGAGATGGAGGAGATGGTGTGAGGAGTAGATGAAAATTCCTGGTGTGGCAGTTGTGGAGCCAGGATGTAAGACTGTGGAGAAGGGAATGAAATGATAATATGCTACTGAGGACCTATGTTCTACTAGGACCTTAAGGGACAACTAATAACAATAATAATCGCCTAAAAATGCATTTAGATAAGGAATTTTCACTTTTACTTTTTCGAATATTTATCTTTTTGCCAGCCGGATAACAGTGTAGTAGTAACAAATAATCAGCTCTGAAAACAAATAGATAGCAAATTTTTGTCATGAAAGCTTTCGGTTTCCACTCAGCAACAACGCTTTTTCTTTCAATGCTTTAACCTAAACATCAGACAAAATTCTTCTAGGATTTTACATACTTTACCCAGTACGAAAGTCATAAAATCCGAATCCCATCCAATAATCACTTAACAACCGATAATTATCTCCCAACATTTCAAATAATGTTAATAAAATGTCTTATGGGTAGTCTTTTAAATCCAGTTGAGGACAAAGTGTTGCTGATATCCAAACTTTCAACTCTGTCTTGTTTTATCAGTCACCTTACATTTTCTGAACAGTGACAGCAAAAGTTATTAACAGATCTATAAAATCTTCTAAACTCTTTATCGAAACTTTATTTCATTTTACTCATCATCTAACTTTCTCTTTTGATGTTATGTAAACAAAATGTCTCGACATTTGAATTTGGTCGTGTTCAATTATCAATACTTTTGTTTTATTCCACCTAAAACTTGATATTATCTCTTTAAATAACTGATCTAATCAATTAATTCTTTTTTCTAAATGAAATAAATTATTATTGTTCTTATGACACAGTTTATCACCGAGCCTTATATTATCATAATTACTGCTAAAACATGATATTCACATATTTTCATGATGCCATATATGTTTTGTTCACATGGCTTATGCTTGAAATAAATCATTCGATTTAATTCCATCAAAAAAAAAACAATAAATATTAACTTGGCAGACTATTTTAGTTTGATTTGGGAGTTTGTGGGGATTTAGTGACTTTTCAAGTTGGTATTCATCATTGACTGACATCAGTTGGAGGAACATTGGGAACCTGGGAACACTGGACGGCTGACTCGTCCTATAATAGGACTACTCAACAGTGCACACCCATAACCCCTCACCGCTAGGGACCGGACCCATGACCTTCAGGTTCTGTAGCCAGCACGTTACCATTGACCCAGTGGGTCGGAATCCAGTTGTCCATACTTTCATCTTTTATCAGTTCACCACTAAATGTCATCGTTGAGTATTTGTCTTCATGGCTACCAGGTTTGAACAACCGGTTACGATTTCTCACTGGAACTTCGGGAATCCCAAGCAAGGTCATGGGTGTGCACTGCAAAGCAGTCTCACATCAGGATAAAACAGCTGTTTAGTGCTCTCCAGTTTCCAGTGTTTCCCCAACTGAAGTAGACATATATTTGCAACTTTCTTCAGATAACCAATTAAGTACTTGTCTCATAAGTGTAAATATGTAAGATAACTTGATTCATTTGTTGAAAATAAAAGTTAACTTTAGCTGTTTATAAGGATATCTGTTGTCACAACTTTAATATTTTTTCTATAAAACATTCACTAAATAGTTGATTAAACAAGTTCATCAGACCATTCGACTGGCAATTTCAAATAGAGAAGAGTGTGTAAGACACGTCTATATAGTTGATTGGGAAAAAGCAGTTTCATGGAAATCATTTCATTGTCACCTTAAATCAATGAAATGTTCAGTAAAGAGTAAGTAGTTGTGAGGATTAACCTCCTCATGCCTTGTGTATCTTCACTAGTCGTTTTGATCACTACGAAAACTTGTTTGCTGCAAACATTTATTCAAAATTCGTGGAACATCGTCAACCTTGAAAGCTTTTAAGCCTTTATTAAATCTATCTCACATTCACCGAGATAAGCTTATGTTAATACATTATAAACATTTAAAATAATATATAATGTCAACGTTATAACATGTTCTGAGGAAACTTTGTTCATTATGTTTATCTTAAACTTTAATTTTGTAAATATTTACTAATAGCTAATCCCAATTTTCGTTCAAGAAGATCAGTTAATCCCTTCAATACATACATCAGGCCTAAGATTAAAAATTCTTTAGAAACAGTCTGTACTATATTTAAATATAATAGGAAGCAAATAAAATATTTTTGAACCAACTCAGGGTATTCAGGAGAAATGGATATTTTATTCCTATGTATTGAGGATACATTTATTGGAAAGTCTTATTTCTCCAGAAAAAGAAAATTTTAATTAATAAAGAATAAACTCAGAAAATGTGTCACTCTGCAGTAACCTCATAATGGTTCTAACCTCTACTCAGTAATTAACTACTACAGTCTGTGCAAAACTATTTAATATGAGAAGTATGGCACTTTAAAATTCTCTTCAATTGGACATGGAATTAAGATCTATCTGTGAAATCAGTCAAAAACTTAACAGTTCATTCAGAATGGTAATCTAATAACTAGTACGTCTAATGAGATTGGTTGCTGCATTACTCTGAACTGTTTGGTGTTACTGAAATGTAGATTGTTTCTTATCACAGGTATACTGGAGCTTATCTGGCTGTCACAAAAGCTTAGAACCCCCCTTAAACTAAAAGCTGAAATTTAATAATTTGAACAGTCTTTGGTCTCGACAACACATTTTCTTGAAATTAAAGACTGAAAGCAAGTTGGAAAAACACTTCAATGTCCGTTGTATTTATGTTATATTCCCTTTAATGACTCAAAACAGCCCACTGAAACCAAATGTTTTCTAGGTATTACTTAAAGTTGGCCAGAGGTATACTACGGGTGATAGAGATGTCAATCATTGTCATTACTGATCTAGTGACTAGTACGTTTCATTAACCTTTCTGAACTTCCAACTAATTTAATAGTGCTTTTCTTAAGCGCTTCACTAGGTATCCATATAGAAATGAAATTGTGACTAAAAGATGGCTGTTCACTGTAAATATACATGTATTAACTTAAACAACTAGACTACTTCAATATTAGTTAGTAAAATTATAACTGATACATCCCAGTTTAGTGTGCAGATGAAGAAAGTGATGGTAAAAGAAAAGACAACGAATAAAGAAGACATGAGTAGCCTTTAGTTTACTGAATACCAAGAGAGAAATAACGCCTAGAAATGTTCCTTTCGAATACAAAGTTCAGATTTGATGAATCTTATTGCAACAACCTAAGCTACATTGAGTAGGCGTTGGTGAGCTAAACGTAGTATTGTTTTTAGTACACAATGTATGACATTAATACCTGTATTATCATGTATTTGATGTTTACTAGGTGTGCCTAGATAGAACCTCTTATCACTTTCATTTCACCTTTTTCTAAACCAAGCCGACAAATATTTGTGTATCCTGAGACACAATTGCCTAATCTTACTCACTGTGTAACTTGTTCTGCGTTAAACAATTAAACTGATAGATATATTGCTCCTAAGATAATATACTCAACTAACTTACAGCGAGCACATATCCTTTGTTACATTAAACCACATCCACTTGACATGTTAGTTACTTGTTATTTTACACAAGCGGTTTTTCCAAAGGATAAAATTCATTATCGTAAAACTTTTGAGTGTTTGTAACAAACCTAGGTGTATGATAGTAATCCATCTCTTTTTAGTAATCATTGAATGTTAAAGCACAAGTAACAATCTTTTAGTTTGTATGCGATACTGATCAGTCATGTGTGAATTCAACCGAAAAAGAATTTACACCAAATACAAACAGTAATAAATATTTGAATGATTAATTTCTTCATCTATCAGAAATCCAAAATGCGTTACAAAGTATCGACAAAAGTCAACTGAATATAAAATCTCCAATATCATCAAGTTCTAGCTTCAACTGTATAACAAAATATATTACAAATTTTAATGGTAATTTTTTATTTTAGCACAATCTTGAACTTTTCAATTATATATCTGAATAAAAGATTAAAAAAAGCCAAAGTGGTTTATTACACTGAGAAGTTAAGTGTTAAATGAATAAACCGATGAAAAAGAAATGGAGAATTGAAATTCTGAAACCATTAAAAATACAAAACTTCCAATTTATACTATCTGTAGATTATAACTTGTTATAGAATGATACTCCACTGTGATTTTACATAAATTTATAAACCATAGTTAATTTAATAAACTTGTTTCAATATGTACACTAAGCTGAATTGTGTTTCATTCAATAGAATGGATGATAACAAAAAGAGAATATATATAAGGAATATTTATAAGACGAAAAAATATCTTAAAAATTTATTCCATTTGCAAAACATTTATCAACTGCTCTACAAATTATTCATATTTTCAATGTTATATACAAGATAATGGTGTTGTTAACAAAGAAAACCTCTGACCCAATTTTCTATATTTCTTCTTTCATATTATATTTGAATTCAATCTATGATAGTAAAACAAATAAAAACAGTGAATGATGAAGTGTGTAACGACTACCAAACCATTTAACCATCATTATATATATATATATATATATATATATATATATATATATATATATATAAGATTAGCGAAGTTATTACATATATTTGCTAAAACCAGTAGGCATACTTTTTAACCTCATCATTTGAATTAAGGATTAACTAATATTAGTGTGAAAATCACCTCTAAATTGAATTTCATACGTTTTTATACTTAACTGCTCCTTTTTATGGTCAACCAGCGTTCATTGACTTGTTGATGTCTTGCTTTCTGTCCACTTTTATTTCTGAATCAACTGTGTTTATTCTAAAGTTGTATGAGAAAAATATACATATATTATTTATATGACTATTGATATTTTGAAGCAAAGTTTGATTCACTATTACGTCACCATAAATCTAGTAATGCGTATATCAGTGAGACTAATTCTTTAGATGTTCAGAAACGATTCCATTTATTTGTCGCACCTGGCTAAATAGTCTTAGTTGGAAGGGAGGGGGGGAGAGAGGGGGAGATCAAGTTTCTGAAGTACATTCATGGAAAGACCTGACTGACTTAAGTTTCATGTTTACAGCCAATCATCAAGAAGACTTACCTTCAATGTTCAAAAAACTCACTTTTTGTCGATAATTTAAACATATATCGCTGATTGTCAGTCACAGATAGTATTACATATCTATTCAGCTCAAAGATGAAAATGTGTGTGACTGTATTATGAGAATGAGTCTATGATGAAATAGCCACCTTTTCCAATTGGTATTTATTGACTGAATGTGAATATGGCCAATGTGCCAAATGACACAATACTGAAATTCAAATCGGTTGATATTCAGTGCTTAAAAATTAGTGAACATCAATGTTTCAAAGGTGCCAAGAGAAATATTTATTTAAGTAGCTCACAAGTTAACCATATTCAATGAATGGACTAACTGTTGAGACTCCCGTAAGAGCTGAAGAGTTGAAAACTATAGGACTTACAAGTACACAAAAGTTTGACCCTAGTAATCTTAGACTGGTCAGCGATAAATAACCTATATATTCATGTACTTACTGCTTTCTTGTATTACTTGTATGGGCAAGGTGAACACCGATATGGAATGTTTCTATACAAACAAACGGCTTAAACTGTTATAAGAATTAACTTTTATCTGAAATCTAGTGACTTACATATGATTTCCGTGGCTTTAATATGTGAAATATTTTGCAATAAGCATTCTAGTTCAGTTTATTAAAGTTTTAATTTCTTAGTTTGAAATAATCATAGTTTATTGTTAAAAATCTTTGTCTGACAATAGACAAACAAGTCGCGAAATTTAAATTGGTGTATAGCAATAAAAGCTATTGTATAAAGCATTTACAACTGTCATTAATAACTGTATCTTCTGAGGCTTCTGAATGTGACTGTAGTTTTTCTCTGACATAAATTTTGTAGATGAATACTCCTTCAATCTCAAGATGGCTTAAGAGAACATATGACTGCTTAAAACTTCCTGTTATAAATTGCTATTACATTCGGTCATATCTTCCAAACATTATCAAAATATATTAAGATTTTTAGTGGCAAGTTTCTAAAACTTCTGTAATCAAAAAGCGAGAACGACATCCTTAAACTACACCCAATACATAAAGCGTGATAACTTTCTTAAAACCATATACTATTACTAACAGCTGTCCCTGTAGCTGTAGATATCAATACAGTCAGTGCAATGAAGATTGAAGAGACAAGTGTTTCATGACATAATTTTAGATGCCACATGTAGGTAAGATTTTGGAACTTGTTGAAATTCAATGTTTCTTGAACTTTGAAGATTAGTCTCAATGGTTACTATTGTAATTACACCCTTTAACGTTGAAGTGAAGTCTCTTTTCAGCATGTTTCGAATACGTTTATTGGTTACTTTGACTTTTCTTTGATAACAGAAAACAAAATAAAGTGTTTTCTTGATGAAGCTGAAAACGACTGTGACCGGTTAAAATACTGGTGAGCTTTGTACATTGGTGAGGAGTGATTACAATAATGCTTCTATATGGTTGAGAAACTTGGAGCGTTACGAAAAGCATTTCCAACATGCTAAAAACACATCAACAGTTGTCGCCTACACTCGCTCCATACTGAAGATCAGACAGATGGCCAGAACAATAAGAATAAGCAATAAGGAACTGTGGCTGGCTGGCTGCTGGCTGGCTGGCTGGCTGGCTGGCTGGCTGGCTGGCTGGCTGGCTGGCTGGCTGGCTGGCTGGCTGGCTGGCTGGCTGGCTGGCTGGCTGGCTGGCTGGCTGGCTGGCTGGCTGGCTGGCTGGCTGGCTGGCTGGCTGGCTGGCTGGCTGGCTGGCTGGCTGGCTGGCTGGCTGGCTGGCTGGCTGGCTGGCTGGCTGGCTGGCTGGCTAGCTAGCTGGCTGGCTTTCAACGAAACAACCAATGAAGCAGGGAGTCATCGCCCAACAAATATGATGAAGAAGAGCATGGAGATGGATTGAATTCTATTGGATTGCACATACACTGAGAAGACCGTTTGAGGATATCAATCGCCAGGTCAGACAATCGAGTGGAACCAGCATGGGAAACGACGAGTTGGACCTCTAAGTGTGACATGGAGGAGATGGTGTGAGGAGTAGATGAAAATTCCTGGTGTGGCAGTTGTGGAGCCAGGATGTAAGACTGTGGAGAAGGGAATGAAATGGTAATATGCTACTGAAGCCCTACGCTCCACTAGGAACTTACAGGACAAATAATGATGAAAATAAATCTCAGAGAAGCTGAACATACAGATTATTTCATCCTGTATGGCTCATAATGACAGTTTTTGACTCCATCACTTGAACCTTTATCCTTCTGAGGTAAATCTTTAGGTTAGGATAATCAATCTTGATCGATCAGGTCATGTCAGTAGTTCGTTAATTGTACTGTTAATGGTGCTTTTATGCAAACCCAAAATACGATGGCATTCAGTTTGTTTTTAAACATAAGATTTTACTGCTCAAAAGTGTTTTACTGGCATATATAATAAGCCTCAACGAATCCTTCCCCTTCAGATTTTAGCTATGCACCACAGAATTAACTATGATAAATGTCATGAATTTCGCTTCTGTAGTCAGTTCCTTTCCGCTCTACATATTTCTAATTAATTTGATGGCCGATTTTGACTCTTTGATTCTAATACAAACTTCTGCATCTAAATTTCTTTGAGTGTTAGCAATACTGGCTTGGTGTTAAATGCATTTACCTTCCAAGAGTTTCTCTTCTTATCAAAATTCACCATTATTTATTCGATTCCATGCATCATCTTGCTAGAATTTACTTTGTCGTTTGTTCCGTTCGGACTTGAACAGAGTTATCTTGGTTGAAATCACGTACACAATCGACACCAGTCGAAAATGTTTAGTCGACCCAAGATTCATCATGTACAAGCTGAGGGGAAGACTTCATGACATTTATAAACCAGATAACTGGGTGTAATTTAGTCTTATGATTCAAAACCACAAAATACGAAAACATTTTAAATGGTTTCCACATCATCATTGTATGGAAGCTTCTCTGGAACTGCAGAGTATTAGTAATCAATACCCATATTATAATCTCCAAAGCCACACACGGTGAAGACTTAGCGGAATAGTTAAATTTGGATTGGGAGTTAGGTTACTGAATTACCTTATTCGTTTCTGTTTTCAAATTAGTAAATGGTTAGACAAATTGGCGTACATTTATGGAATAGGACCTTATAGATATCTTAGATACCGACTGGTAACACCAACTTCTCAGGTGATGCAGTTCTCATTCTTCATAAGTTCTGAGTAGTACTATAACAGTCAAAAAGCACTTTTAAAATCTGAATAAAATAACCTGTTTGTTCTGTTTTTTGAGAAGAACGCAAAATCTAGAAAAAAATCACTTCAGGAACTAAGTGAGGTAACAAAGGTGGATACAGATATAAATAAGTGTTCATCTGATAAACCCATGGATGTTTTTATGATAATGAATATCACTTCGGTAAATGCATAACAGGATGCTTTGTACTTGTCACGTTAAAGCGATACAAGCCAGAAATACAAAATTATTTATAGGTTATGTTTTCAGAATTTTAAATAACCGAACTTTTTGATGTAGATTTTACTAAAATAAAGATATCTGAAGGTTAAGAAGACAATGACAACTCCATTTCAAGATCCCCTTGTTCTCTCTACGATCTGTGTGCTGAAACTGGTTGATTTCTTTCAAAACCAGTGTTAATGAATCCTGCGTTTAAAAATATTCTATCCTTCTTTTCATCAAAATTCTGCACAAAGTAATTGACTATATATATATATATATATATATATATATATATATATATATATATATATCATTTAAAAGCACTTAGAGTTAATTATTTTAATGATTCACCTTAAGATATGTAAGAGTTTCATATCTGATCTGAAGAGATTTTACCTCATGAAACTACTGCTTCTCAAAAAGGATTTCACTTCATCCGAAAGGGCCACATAAACAGATAAGAATAGTCATCATAAGACTGAAACTTAGATCATGTGAAGACTAGCTGAGAACATCATGTTTATGTACTTTTTTCTAGGTAATTTCAGAATTGGCGTAACAAACGTTTTTCAATTTAAATCGTTAAGGTGAAACTCTTTCTGGTTTCTAGGTAAGCAATATGGTTATCAATGTAACAACAGAAGTATGAACAGTTTTCAGAAGATACAGACTGGAAAAAGGTTCTTTTCAGCCCTTCATAATGTGCCATAGACTGATAGTCTCAAATGAACCAGTCTACACCTAGACGAGAAGGTTGGGCAAATAAGTGCATAAATGAGGTCTCCACTCATATGGTTGCGGATGAACTATGTTGAAGAAGTGAACTGCTCTCTTATCTACTGACCAAGCTTTTCTATCATACTTTTATTAGTTATTATTCTCATGATAAGTACCATATTTCAGTTGGCTATCGCTATTGGATTACCTAATTACCTGTTGAGCAACTTTCCGAGATCGCCATTCCACCTTCATTGCTTTCTTCATTTCTTAGACTCAAGTTATTCCCCACTTCTGCATTTTCTACATCGATTCAGTTATCAATTTATTGTTTGCATATTCATCCCAATAATCACAGGGAGTTCAAGTGAACGTCTTGAATGCGTTCGAATCACCAGACCAACTTCATAAAACCTGTCGGACATTTATCTGAGAAAGGTGTCAACAATAAAATGATCAATGAGTTTCCTGTACGGTCAGCCTGAGGTACACGATCCAAGAGTACAGTTAAGACCAATTCTTGATCTGTTAAATTCTCCTTACGATGCCCTAGCGAAACGGCTGGTCACTATTCTCCAAACTCAGGCAAACAGCTAGTAAAACTTAGTGCAAAAGACGTATTTAAATTTATAGACAGAACTAGGGAGACTAACATCATGAATGAAACTGTGATACCACTGGATGTAACATCTCTATTCGCCACCTTTCCTTTCTCTGAGACAACCAACTTTATGATGGAATAGTTTGAAGAAAAGTCTATAAGTGTTGGAATCCTCACAGATGTCCTCAAAAAATCATTGCTAGAGTCCGTGATAAATTCTAATCATGAAATTTAACTGTGAACTATTCACGTAAGCGGCTGCAGCCGCAATGCGCTCACCACTGTCTCATTCTAGCGGACGCTTTTAAATCGAATCCAAAGAATGGTTTATTTGAACAACTGGTCAGCGAATTTTCATTTTACTGTCAGTGTATGGATAATGTTTTCATCCCGTGGGAAAACGGCGTGGATAGGTCAAAAATAATCAGTAGATTCAACACATTACACTCAGTGATTAAGTTTACGTGTGCAGAAATCATGAGGCAAAATAGCTTTTCTCGATGTTCTTCTTTCACGGCAAACATATGGGTCAATAAAGATAAACTCGTTAAGGAAAGGTGTGTGGACAGAGCCATACGGGCACTTTCCCTCAGTACAAATGAAACTAAATAAAAATTCCAAGTCACAGAATAAAGGCTATATGTTCAGCTGATGCAATTAGAGGAGAAATGATGGCGTTGCGCAGCGAACCAATCGAATACGGGTTTCGTGATAGATTGGTAAAGGAATATTCTCAAGGTTAGCAAAAAACTAATATTCAATCAGAGATGATATGTTCAGTGAAATATCAATCCATAAACTACACGAGTCAATTCAGAGAAAGCTAAGTGCTGGTTAATCACAAACTACGTTTCGCACATGACCAGTGGTAACAGTGGGACGGAAAGATGAACTGCTTTGATTGGCCACTTCCTACAGCGTCTTTCAGTTCAACTGCTCCTACAGAGTCAGTTACGTCGACCACTGCTCTAGGAATTTGATTTTTCGCGCTCGCCGACACCTTCTAGCGTGGCTACTTAAAGGTGTCGTAAAGGCCATTACTGCCTTCATATGAGTACACCTGCTTGAAAAGAACCATTTAGTGGACATGAATAAGTCATTTTTCATCCCGTATCTAGCTCCCATCACCTTCCCAAAAGGTATCCAGCTACAAATCCCTCGAAATGCAAAAGCAGTTACAGTCAAGATCAATAACCCTGAGTTATGTGTTCAAAAAGCTAAGTATTGCCGATACATCTACTGCAGTTCTGTTCGTGAGGCACAAATTCCTTAGCATCCTACCCCAGGTAATCCGACTTTTTCGTTTTATGCTGCACGTATCCCTACATCCCTATTATCTGAAATAATTCTAGTATGTTATTTTGACCTTCTTCGTCCCCAACATGAGTGACACCCCATAAAGCTATTTCTCAAATTATCCTCCTTGGTTTGTTTAATCCTATTCCCATAAACACTCTCCTGTTGTTTTATTGAACTATCATCCCGTAGCCTCACAAACGCCATGTAATCGTATAGACAATCAATTTTTATTGAATTGAATTGCAGTGGTGACTGATTCTATAATCGACGTTCACAAAAGACTTTCCTGAATTGACTTTCTCCACTGTATAATATTATTTGCAAACTGTTGGGCGAAATCTCAATAATTTTGATGAACAACTCCTCATCATGAACAAATAACGATAAGGTCCGAAGCAGAATTTATCTAAAACAATATTTTTTTACTCAAATACTTTTGAATCAAACTGGTTGCTGGACCCATATGACCAAAATTAGAATATTTTCCAAAAACGATGGAATTAGTCAGTCGGTTTAGACAGGAGATTACGAATTGCTACACCATATTAGTTTATTTGCTAGGTATCTAACCCAACAGAATGGTACTATTTACACTAATATTTAAGTTGCGATTTCTGATAATTGAATATAGGTGTTGAGAACTGTGAGTACATAAAGGATATGTATATGCTTGAAGACTTACATTTTTGTCTGATACGTCATTCTCAATGTAAAATTTGATCTTTCAGCATATTTATCGTAAGCTTAGAATCCAGTCGCAACGGACCGTGCTTTTTATACACTTGTGATGGCTGACTAGATAGCGAATTTCACATCTAAATCCCTAAGTATATTTGCAAACAAACCACCGTAATGCTTTTGTCACACTTATCTCGAAGCTTTACACATCTGAACAGAACGAAATGCTCTTACCTCAAGGATTAATTTATATGACGACATGCTCATATGTACTCTTCATACCTTACAATATTTCAATGAACATACCATCTTGGTTATTTTTCCAGCAATGCTAATTGTAATTTCAAAATTTTATGATATCCACGTCCAACCGTGAGGTTGAATAATAACTCACCTAATTTATTAGTGCAAAACTTCAAATCTTGGATTAACTTGTTGTGCAACATATAAGTAAATGGGTCCGTTGGATGTTACAGCTGCACCCCCATTTCTGTTGCTGCTTATATATGTTATGTTTTCTACCCAAGGATTCTCTACCGGATCTTCTACTTCCGTATGCTGCTCACCCTTTAGATGGAATATGTCATATTCTTGAACCTTAGAATCATCTTCATTGTTATAGTATCCAATTGAAAACGCCTCAACGTTTTCGTTGGGATCATAAGGGAAAGGAGTATCACAGCCTCCTTCATCGTAACTTTCTGAGTTTATTCTTGATGGAGAATTGTGGTGAGGCATTTGGTAGTTACTGCTCAAGAGCCTGACACCACGTGTTACTGGTTGTTGGAAGGAAACATGATTAAATGTTTTTGGAGGAATGTGTCTGGTAGATGTGGATAGATCTTGTCTATATCGTGAAAGACAGTCATACGTATTTGTTTGAGTATTCGAAGATGAACCACTCTTCGGTTGTGTAACCTGATGTTTACCGATTTCGGACTGATGGTTTTCGTTAGCTAAGCGTCCACTGACTTGAACTGCTGGACTACTAGGAGAATAATTACCCCTGTATTGTTGCTTTCCCGTTTTATTCCATTTGAACTCTGAACGAAACCTATTGCCGGACGGTGGTAGTGCCTTCAGACTTTCATAAGTTTTTGGTGTATCATTTGAATCTTTTAGGGGTGTTGTTTGTGGAGCATGAACTTTGGGGCTTATTACAACTGATTTCATTTTAGGATTACTTTGCTCCCTTGGTAAAACCTGCTCAGTATTCGGTTCTGAAAGCAACATAGTTAATTTTCTAGCTTTCTCAGACGAACTCAGTACTATCCCATACAATGTTACGTTAGGCGATTCACTGCGTTGGAATAGGATTACGAGAGACTTCGGATGCCTTTGTGAAACGTAAAAACCACGAATCTCCTGCAACAGTATTTTTCCTTCTATCTTGTAATTGTTTTCTGAAATTTCAGGACAAAATGACAGATAATTTCTGCAACAAATAAGATGACTTGGTTTGTTTGCTTTTGAGTTAACTTTTGCCAGGATTAGAGAAGCTGCGATTTCTCTTATTGTGTCCTCGTGGTCTTCACAATCTCTAGCTCCACTAAATCTGATGATGTCATCAAATCGTTTCTCTTCGTTTACATGACCATTCTGAATATCCGACATCACAGATATCCCGTATTCTGTGCACAATCAAGATGTAACACGATAACAAGCTTTATATCCAAGCGCTGCGGCTTTTGTTGTGAAATTAAAGTTTAAGCATGCAAACAAACTTCTTAAACTGGTAATTTCTTTACCTACAATATTCTGACATGATTATTTTTGTCATAGAAAAAATAATTGCTTCTCTTTCTGAATCTTTCAGGATACATTAGGATTTATCCAACATCGATTGGATATTGAATATTGAAAGTGCGAGCGTAAAAACTGATATTTTTTGATCTCTCGCATCTGCTTCTTAGGGCTTGTTTCGAGTCGTTCGGTTCACTCCTGCAGTGGGCGAGGGAATGAAGAAGAAAGAAGAAAATGAGGGATGAAAGAGAGAAATAAGACCGAGAGAAAATTATATGGAGATCGCCCAAATAGTAGCGTCGGTTTAGTTCCTACAGAAGAATTAGTGGGTAATGTGGGTGTATTAGGGAAAGAGATAGTGAGTGGTAGATAGGAGGGAGTTGGGGGTTAGTGCGGCTGATGACTACCTGAGTACGTCCGTGGTAGTCCATGCGAGATGACGTAACTGTCTAACCGTCTCTTGAATGAGTCGACTGACGGAGCTAGGACGAAATGTCGCGGTTAGGCATTCCATAAACTACATACTCTTAGGCAGAAAAAATTGGACCTGAGTCTGGTGTTGGCTCTCTGGCGTGCTAACCTGATCGGGTTTCCTCGTGAAGATCTCTGAGTGCCAGGCGAAATTGATTTGCTTGTGTGGTCTGCCTGATGGGCGATCCTGTATGCCATAATAACGTCACCCCTCTTCCTACGACAACCCAAGGTAGATAGGTTTAGGTGCTTAAGTCTTTGAGGATACGTCTTTCTTCTAAGCGCCACAACTGATTTTGTTGTGGCTCTTTGTATTTTTTTCAAGGGGATTGGAGTCTCTTGAGCGCTGGGAGGCCACCGTATCGAAGACCTGCAGATGCGGCGGCACATAGGATTTGAAAATGGTGAGGGGGAGTGAGGGAGTGAGGGCGCCAAGCTACCCATGCAGAAAGTGTGGAATGGCGTTCGCTCTGGTTGTCATACCTTTGTAGTTGGGGCAGGTGTTTAAGGTGTCGGAGAAGTTGAGCCCCAAACCTTTCTCCGTGGACACTCTGGTGATAGTACGGTTGCTCAACATGTACTGAAAGTCGGTCGCACTTTCTTCATATTTGCTGATGTTCATTACTTTGCACTTTTCCAGGTTGAAGTTTAGACCATTTTCCGACGACAATGGTTCGAGTTGCTGCCAGTCGTCTTTGGTGCTGTACAGTCAGCTACTTCGATTATCACCCTCCAAATTTTATTGTCGTCAGCGAAGAGGAGGATGAGTAAGGGTACCTTGTCTGGCAGATCATTGGCAGACAGGAGGAACAGAAGTGGTCCTAGGATTGCTCCTCCGGATACTTCTGACGTCCGCGATCTCCACTCCGACCTTATTATGTTTACTTCGGTGTAGAACTGCCTCCCTTCCAGGTACTACTTGAACCAAGTGAGCAGGGGTTCACTTGCACCAGCTGACATGATCTTGTGAAGCAGGACTGCAGGTGGGACACTGTCATATACTTTTGCTGGGTCGAGAGAGACCACATGTACCGGTTCTCTGTTGTCCCAGCTTAGTGTCCAGTCGACCAAAGCGGTAGTAAGTTGTTGGCGCATGGGCGACCACTCCGAAAACCATGCTGGGCAGTATGCGCAGTGTTTGAGCAATTGACGAATTCCCAGATAGTGTCAACTACCACGCTTTCTAACACTTTCGATACAATAGGGAGTGGAGCAGTCGGCGTGCAGCTGCCAGGGCCATTTCTGTCTCCTCCCTTGAAGGTGGGCGACAAGATGTCGCTCTTCCATTCTTTAGAAAGTTTGCATGACTCTATTGAGTGCTCAAAGAGGTTGCAGAGTGGCTTTGTAAGCACCTCGGCGCAGTTTTTTACGATCACCGGTTCTAGGTTATCGCAGCCAGGGGACCTGCCCCGATGTAGACTAGATGCTTCCTCTAACACCTTTTTCTCTATGATTGCGCTGTGACAGAGGTATTCGCCGTGACCAGTCGGTGTGGATTTTCTGTCGGTGCTAGGTTGGGCTTGGAAGTCTGGGCTCAAAAGCTCGGCAATCTCTGGACCGCCTAGAACACCCCATCATCACCTATGATAAGAGCCAATCCCTTACTGGTTGACTTCCTTCTCTACATGAAGCCGTACAGGCTTTTGGGGTTGCTTTGCAACCTCTCCGCCAGGTTTGTTTGATAGGAGAGTCTGTCACTACGCACTCTGACGTTACAGGGGTCGTGTATCCTTTTGTAGTTCAAAAATGCAGACTCCCTGCGTGATGAACGCACCTTGAACCAAACCTGCTTCTTGCTCCGGATAGGCCTCTCCGTCCCATGATTTAGCCGTGAGATTCTCACTGATAGTCTGTGGTACCTCTGGTACACTGTGACTGATGACCGCAGCGGTGATTTTCTTCACCCGCAGCCAAGGGTTCACCCATTGTGAGATGAGTCCAATCTACCGACCATGAGACATTCATGGGACGGCCGTCCCGTGGTCCCGTAGTTGGCCTTGCTGTAGCAAGCGAAGGTGTTGGGCGTCTCCGGTTGCAAGGCCTCCCCAGGAATCACGGAGAAGATTATCGTTGCGTGGTCACTGAGTCCAAGAGAAGGTTGGAGGTATACACCCTCAATGAGAAGGCCATAGTTCGTCGGAATGTAGTCAAGGAGCGGTACGTTTCGGTTACGCCCCCAGCGTGTGGTATCACCCACTTTCTCTGGGAGGCCAGCAGTCTTAATTGCATTCTTCAGCTTCTGGTTGAAGTGGCTATCGTTCCTCTGTGGCATAGTGGATAATGCCTTGGCGTCTGAAGCGATGGGTACAAGGCTCGAGTCCCAGTGGAGTGCAGGTACATCCAGCTGACGAGTCCCGAATAGGACGAAACGCGAGTCTTGGATTCTTCTGCTGGCCAAAACCAACCAATTTTTCTGATTGAAGGACCTGATGCGTCTGCCTTCTGTCTCGAAGAGGATGGATGGGGTGTTGAGGTCGCCGGTAATGATTACGGAATCTTAATTTGCAGAGGAAGTCGTTAGATTGCCTTGATCACGGCTTCCTTATGTGTGGGGGAGCTGTTAGGGGACCAATATGTGGCTCCCAGCAGGCAGTTGGTGCGGTGAAGAGTGAAGTGGCACCATGCAGATTCTGTGAGCTGGGTTAAGACGGTATCGCTAACCACCATTGCCTTCAAACGTGAGCTTACGCAGAGAGCCACTCCCCCTCCTGTTCTCAGCTCTCTGTCCCTGCGGAAGAGTTTCATGCCAGTAACATGCACCTCTCCGTCGATGTCCGGCGAAAGCAAGGATTCGGTGATGAATATTATGTCAGAGTGCTGACGTTCACGCAGCGTCCTTATTTCCGCTACTTTCCCTCTTAGCCTCCTAACGTTGCTGTGCATACATGTTAGAGTGTGCCTGGTGAAACGGTAGGGCTGGTTGTATATTTTTGCGAGAGGAGCGCCTACGTGGTTGAGTCTAGCCTCGCCAGTCCTCATAGAACTGGCATCATTCCGCTTTTTGCCCTTTACTTTCAAAGCGGGTGGGGGAACTTCCTCACTCGGTGTATCCAACTCACTGGTCAGTGCCTGCGTGACAACCACTGACTCCGGAGGTTTTGGCGGTTGCCGTCTCTCCTCTCGCCTCATGGGTCTAGGCTTGCTTTCACACATGCATACTGATCCACCCACGATATCTTTCGCATTATACCATGCCTGCAGAAGATCTGCGAGGGAGGCCTGTGAGCCGAATTGGGTGGCGAGCATTTTAAATGTGGGTATGAACTTAAGATGCACTGGCCTTGGCAGTCTACTGACTCTGTTAGCAGGTACACCGCCGAAACCAGCTTCTACTGAGGGCCGTTGCCGTTGCTGGACCTCGTGGAAGTACGGATTTTTAGCCGAGTGGTCACTTGGCGGTTCTGGGACGCCATGTACAACCATGGCATTGTTTCCGTTTGGATTTCCAACCGCTGACTTTCTGTCCTCCTCTCTTATTGACCATTGGTTGTCAGGCCTGGCCAGAATTCTCAGGCATTGACGTCCAGTTGTCGCGAGAGAAGGAGGGTGTCTTCTGCCTCTTTGGCAGTGTTCAAGGACACATGTGAAGGGGGTGGCTTATTTCGCGGCCCCCGGATTCCGCTAGAAAGGTGACACGGTGTTGCGAGGAGAGGAGAGAGTCCCGGCATCTGACAACGGTCTGTCCACATTCGGCTTTCAAGCCGTCCCCTCTCGATCAACAATGAGTCTGTCGATGCCTTGACTTTAAACAAGATGATCGAGTTAGCCCTCTCATGACTTGAGTTCGTCGTGGGCGGCACGCCCCACTTCCCGATGGGTTTGTTGTGTGTTTCTACTAGTTGTTTCTCAGTCACTATGTATGGGATGCTTGGGGTGGGTTTCGCAGTCTAGCGGTTGTTGTCGTTAGCCGTGCGCTTGATGTTTTCGTAAGCCGGATGGAAGGTACGGAGACTCGACCTGGTGTGGTCCGCGCGCGTGGTGGCGTGCCCGCAGCTGAAGCTCTGGTTCCGTTTACAGGTCCCTCTGTGTTATCCCTTAGTGTTAGCCCTACTTTATTTGCAAGGCGGAGAGCATCTCTTCCAGGCTTTCCGTGAGGAGTGTGGGTAGCTTCCTGGACTCTGGACAAACGTGCTGGAACCATTTGTATGGTTGCCTCTTCATCAGCTTATAGTACTATCAAGGGGCTTTGGTGTTTCAGTGGCAATGCGCCCATCAATGACATGGGTTGCATGCAGGTGCCTTAACTGCCAAAACAGCTTCAGTGCAACCACTGCAGCCATCGGGTGTCGTAATGCAGCCTTCTTCCGTGAAAAAGGTGCCAGGGATTGTGACGAGCTGCTTGCGGCTGCCTTGTTCTGGGGCCTTTCGCACGTTTTTCTTTTTTAGGCATGGTATGACCCTCGCCTAAGGTAGGGCTAGCTTGTGACGGGCTAGCGCTATTCTGTTTCACCTGTCTGATGGCGACTGGAATCCTGAAAATATAAGTTGGGCGCTCCTTTAGAAGTTCGGCGTTCTGCCCTACTTCTGTTTGTCTGTGTATACAGACTAGTGTTGTTTCGGGCGCTACTGTCCCTTTTTGTGCACTACCGCGTTATCCGTG